GAATTTGGCTATCTCAAACAATATTTTAATGTTAAAGATGATGAAATATTTTTGTTAGCCTTGTGAATAAACTGCTGAAAAATTAAGGAAAAAACAAAAGACAGATAATTTGGAAAGTGAAGTCCTTCTGCTTAATCAATAAGGTTTTTTACATTTTGAAAAAATTTGTGAGTCATTATTTTGGTGAATAAATGACTTATGATAAACAGTAATTTCATTACATAATATCAAGTGTTTTAAACATTTAACATATTTGATAGGCTTCCCAAAATCAAATTTAGTCTTTGAAATTGTCTTTTAAAATCCCTAAATTTTGGAAACGACGGAGGGCCCTTGGAGCATCCAAAAGAGAAATAAACAGGATTATTTGACATGTTTAGTTACATGGGTTTGCTGAAACAAATACAATGGTTAATCTTTTTTAGGTTATATTTTACTAAATAATATTAATACATGTTCCAAAATGTTATGGGGTTGCAAAATTATAATGTCTTAGTATATGCTATCAATTAAAGTTATTATATTAAGTTATTGTAAGCCACAGACATAACTAAATTACTCTGTCAATTGTGTTTTGACTGTGACTACTCAAAGATATTTTGTGATTCACATTGTCTTCTTTTGATTCTCTTCAAAAGATGATTTATATTCAACTATATAACTTTGACAAGTGCTCTTCAATGTAGGTTTCTGATATCTTTCTAGATTTTGACATTAAAATAAAGACAAAACATTCGGAACTCATGAGGAACTGAAATGTTCATGAATATCAAGCAGATCAAGAGTTAACTGAATGGACTGAAATAGTAAAAAAACTGAAGTAATGTTTTTTGACATTTTGCTTAAAATGTGGCTGATCCTTTTTTTTTTTCAGTCAGGAAAACTTTTATTTTGAGCTATTTATAGCTTTAGGCAATTGAGTAAGGTATACACTTGTGAACAAAATTTGGAGCATATCTGTTTCTCTGGTTTCTTCAGAATTTGGAAACTATTTGTGAATATTCTTAACTATGGCAACATAGTTATTTGCATAAGTATAATAAGAATACATATTCTTTTGCAACTGGATGCAATTGGAGAAATTGGTTGTTTTACCAAAGCTCTGACTCAAAGAGTGTGTTTCCCTTTAAGGTATCAAGCTGGACTTGCAGAGCCAATAAAAGTTCCTTGGGGAAACTGGCCTCATAGCCTGTCTGCACTGTTCCCATCCCACCTCCTTCCTAACCTGTGGTGTGTAATTAATGTCGCTTTCTAACAGTCCTTAGAGCCCCAAGTTATCTTAGGGACTTCAAGAAGAGAGTAATTTACCCAACTCATAGGTATTTGAGGGGAAAAACCCTTGGCTGAGCTAAATTTTAAAAGGTCTTATCTGAGATTCTTTACAGAACAGAGTTCTATCAGAGCCAATTTAAAACGTCTATGTGAAAGTAATTATTCTTGTTTCAGTTTACACAAATAATCAGGTCAAGTATAAGACTAAAGTTTATTTTGCAAACAAATTAGTCCTATCTTGATTTGTTTTTAACAAACATAAGGACTGGAGAGAGAACACTTATGTCTCAAATGTATTATACACTTGCCATTAAATTCTAGCATCATTAATTGTTTTTAAGTATTTGTCTGCATTTTAGATTAATACTGCTAATATTTATGAACCAACCAGTGATCTCTGATTGCAGCTCAGAAGAAACAAAATAGATGGGTAATGTAAAATTCTGAATCAATATTCTAGTTATGAACAATTATCCTGCAAATTCTTCCAGGTGATAGGGGTAAATAGGGTGCCTATACTCAAAGGTTTCTTTTTTGGAAATAAGAACAAAGAGAGCTTATGAAAACCAACTCCCATGCATCCATCTTAGCAGGCATAACTATACCCACCAGTTATCTGGGCATCTCGGCAGACTCAGGATTTTTAGCACCCCCTTGTTTGATTTTGATATATGTGTTCTAATAACCCAGTTTGTCTCTTCTTGCCTCTGAGCCATCAAAATCCAAATGGTTCTGCAAATGGAGCTTCAAATGATTGCTCTTTTTCACTGGGGACCCTTGGATAAGCCTCTGACAGAAGATCTGGCTACTGCTTTCCCCAAAACAGTGCCTCCTAACAGCATGAAGCAATTAAGAGCAGTTATCATCCCTATTCTAATGGAATTTAGATGTACCTCTTCAGAATGGAGATTGATGGAATCAGCAATTCATCTGGAGTGGCTGCTGTGAGGATACCAGCTGCAGTGGGGGAGACAAGGCTGGGCTGTGTTGGAGCCAGCAGGGGCCAGAAACAGGTGGGAGCTCCACTCCTCGAAGTCAGTGGGGCAGGAGTTGCATGCTCCCAGGCACAGCTGCAGCCACCCACCCACAGCTCCGGACCCTGGCATCCTTGTGGTCTCAGGAACCCAGGATGCTCACCCTCCCCCTGCAGGCTCAGTAGTGCCTGCTCTCACTACTTGGTTTCTCTGTGCTCCTGGCACTGTCTAGTGCAGAATGAAGTTGTAGCCAAGCCCAGGTGCTGTCATGACCCAGGTGGGGGTGCATATGCTTGGGGCAGTGCTGACATGACAGCCCCCTGCTGCCTTGGCCCCCTCTGCACTTTAAGGACTAACACTCATGGGAGGTTGGCCAGAGAGGGGGCTGAGGCCACTCAGCATGTATCTCCAGGCACCCCTCAATATGAACAGCCTGGGCACTGTGGGCAGCATGTTGATGACAGGAAGTAGACAAGTTCCTAGGGCAGAAAGGAGCAGGTCTCTGGGTAAAACCCCACCTTCAAGCCAGGAATAGCCAGAAGCCCATGGGCCAGGCTTCCAGTTCTAAATGGAATTCACTGCCCAGCATGAAAATTAATGGTGCTTTTTCCAGGCCTGCCCATGGAACAACTGACATGCACTTCCTCCCTTCTGAGTCCATAAAATCCCTGGACTCAGCCAGACTCCCATAGACCTCAGGACAATCAGCTGTGGGATGAAGGTACCCACTTGAGGTCTCTCCAGCTTGTTAGAATGACCTGCCTGAGGGAAAGGAGCTACCCACTACAGGTTTCCTCTCTGTTGAGAGCTGGACATTATCAGCAATGAAGTAGGAAGAATGAGCAACTCCTTCCCACAGAAGTGACCTGCCTGTGGGAAGGAGTTGCCCACTTCCGGTCTCCTAAGATCTATTCTATTACTCAGTGAAGCTGCTTCCTGCCTCTTACTCTCCAGTTGCCCACTTACCTCATTCATCCTGGACACAGGACAAGAACTTGGGATCCACCAAATGGCAGAACTGAAAGACTGTAACACCAACAGGTCAGAAACATGTCTCAAACTTGCCACATTGTGGGTGAGGAGAACTACAGAAGAGCTGTGACCCTTGGGGGATCCCAGTCCTAGCGGATTCCAGAGCCAAGGCTATGACATCCTCTTTGGGGCTTTACAGTTTCTGGCATCTCCAAGTTTTCGGGAATAACCGTATTCTCCAGTGCCCACAGCAGAAGCTGCTTGTATTACCCATGATCCAGTCACAGTCTCACATGGAGTCAGTGCCTGTGCTGGTGCCTGGAGCTGCCCACCCCACTGCTGCCAGAAAACAAGGCTGTGCACAGTGGCTGGACCCGACACCCACTCACATATCCCTCACTGCTCAGTGCCTGGCTTGCCCTTGGTAGATGTGGCACCCAGGCCAGTAGTGCAAGCCAAGCTCAGTGGGCTAGACCAACTAGGTAGAATAAGCCCAGCAAGCCTGAACAAAACTTGGGCAAAGATGCCACTGCTAAATAGGTTCCCAGCTGAAAAACGTGTGCTCTAAGCATCCTGTAATACAAGACCATCAAAATAATTAACTAGCTAAATTTGCCTTTGTATTACAAATGATTGAAGTATGAATGCATGCCTAGTCTGGTATGGAGAATGGGGAGGGGGATGACAATACCCTGAGTTGAATTGCTGCAATTAATACCGAAGTAAATTCATGTTTCCACATTTTCAGATAGTTGTTGATTAAATTGAATGGCATGTGTAGGGTGACTCCTGTATGAATTGGCACCTAGAAATTCTGTGTATAGTAGAACAGTGGTTTTGTTGTAAGAAACATCAAAGCCGTTCATTTTTGAAGTGTCACAAATGGGTTTTACAAAATCTGAGAACATGATCTTGATATTCTATTTGTATAATGGAACATAAAACATAGATTAAATCTGAATAGCTAATAATGAATTTGGTTCTCTTCTCTTTCAGGATGTGTAGAATGCAAGGACTTTATAAAACAATGGTTTAATTAACTCACATTTTATTTCTTCTTTTTCTGAAGTTTAACTCATATCCGTAAATTGTCCTGAAACTGTATAGAAAGTATTATTTAGTAATTTATAGAAAACTTTGTGTAATACTCTTTTATTAGATATCTAATTTCTCAAGGAAAAGCAAATACCCCTTGAACTACAATTTTCAAATATCGTGTACTCTAAACACTGATAAACAAAATGATTGCATGCATTCAAAAATATTTTTTATGTCTCCAGTTGATCAGTAGGGTGTTAAATGCAATGTTTTTTGATTTCACATATTTACTTTGGAACAAAAATATATACTTTTACATAAATATATATGCATGTGTCTTGTAGCTAATACCAATATAAATTCACAATATTACCACTGTTTCAGGTTGGTGTTGATGAACTCATTAACTTGAAGAATATATTTAGAGTGATAAATATATGTGTAAATTAGTGTATTTAAAATGGTCCCTAAATAATTGGTTTTAACTAACTTGAAATAAAAAGCAGAAATTAGATGAATATTATATTTTAAATTTCCTATAAATAAATAAATAACGGCTTTGATTCCAGATAAACAAAAAGCATGTATGATGTACATTCTCAAGTGTTATGGTTGACATTCTCAACTTTATCTTTGCAGTAATAGTATTAAGATATATACTTTTTAACATTTTACAATGACATTACTCATCAATTGTCAGCAGATTATGAATTCAGAGTCATTTTTATTAATGCTATTGGCAGTTTCATACTCATTAATAAGGATAGATTACATAAATTACAGTTATGGAATAATTGTTAACTTTACATATTTTTCTTTAGCTGTGAAGTTTTTGCATGTTCTGCACAATTTAAAAATCACACATACAACACCCACCTTTCCACTGCAATAGATAAGAGGAGTGATTATGTACATAGTATATTCCAAATTATGTTCCTCAGAGAACATGTTAACAGACATTACAAGTTTAATTGTGCCCCACACAAAAATATACCTCTTAAAGCCCTATACCCTGGTAACCCAGACTATGACTTTGTTTGGAAATAACTTATTCATCAATATAATCAGGCAAAAATGAGGGCATTAGGATGAGCCATTATCCAACACAACTGATGTCATTTTTTTTAAAAAAGGAATTTGAACACATATAAAAAAGAGACAAACATTGGAATTATGCTGCCACCAACCAAAGAACATCTGGGCTACCAAAAGCAGGAAGAGGCAAGGATGGATCCTTTCTCTACAAGTTTCAGAAGGAGCATGGCCCAGTCCATACCTTGATTTAAGACTTCTAGGCTTCAGAAACATGAGACAATATACTTCTGTTGTTCAAAGCCACCATTTTGTGGTATTTTTTTACAGCACAGAAAACTAATATGATAGGTATCAAGGCGAGAAAAATAGTTTCACTGTCAAAATAATTTCTCCACAGCAAGTTATAAGAGTGAACATACTTTTAAATACAGCTAAACAAAAATCAAAAAAGTCTCAGTGACTTTACTGTATTAATGGCTATTTTGATGCTCCTAGAGGAGAACTGTGACATAAAATATGTTTCTTTTTCTAATTTGTTTTTTGTTAGTTAATTTTTTTTTTTTTTTTTCAGAGACAGGGCATTGTCCTTTTGCTCAGGCTGGAATGTAACGGTGCAATCACATACAATCACAGTTCACTGCACCCTCAACCTCCTTGGGATCCAGTGATCTTCTGCCTCAGCCTCCCAAGTAGCTGGGCCACAGAAGTACACCACAACACCTAGCTAATATAAAAATATTTGTTAGTGGAACAAAACATTTTCCATATTGGTCATATCACATAACTACTGCTGTACGGAATCTAATTTGGGAAATGTAGAGTGTCAAAATTAAAATAATTACCATCATACGTAGAAAAGTTAAATCTACTTCTTATTTCCTCCAGGCAAAGAGTCAATATAACTTTTGATTCTGCTTTATTCTTTGACCTTAAAATAAGTTTTTCCTAAAAGCTCTTTAAATGCCAGTTGTGCTCTTGAGGATGAATCTCAGCTTGTGAAGTTTTTGTTACAAGTCGTTTACAAAACCAGATGTTCAGATAGTCAAGAACAGCTGTAAAAACATAATACTACATTAGTTTCAAGAATCCACCTGCTAGGTAAACATAAAACAATACCAAATGCAACAATGCAGATAATTGTTCGGACAAGTTTCATAATAAACACGCATTTCTCAGATTTTTTGTTGAATAAGCAAGACAGCCACAATTATTGGAAACACCGAAACAACATTTTAAACTGCTTTAAAAAATTATAATTATGTCTTTATAATGCATTGAACACTAATGTGCATTACAAGATACTCAAATTTCAGCAGATATTTTGTCCTTTACACTGTTTGCTCTGTCAGACATGTTACTTCTTTATCAAAGCCATTTCTTCCTCTAACTAGACAGATGGCTAATGTAGCCATCTGATTGAGTACTAGCCCATGGAATATGACTGGAAATTTTGAAAACCAATTCAAGGATAAGCCTTTAAAAATGTTCCCAGAGTGCTCTTATAATGAACACACCACCCAAAATGATCTTGAAAACCGTGTATGAAGATGGTTGATTCATGCTGTAGAAGAGATCAGAATCCTTGAATCATCATTTAAGGAATAACTGTTGACATAGGATGCATTTATCAAACTCCTACTTAGACAAAGTTAATCTGCTAACAACTTCGGTATATCTAGTGTAGCAGCTGGTGGAAAGTTATCTAAAATATTTGTCAGTTTTTTTCTTAACAAACTGAGACCTACTTAAAATTTTGAGTTTTGTTTGTGAATTCACTTTCCAAAAATTCATTTAAATAATATTTATTGAACACTTAAAATTAGCCAGCTAAATGCCTGTACATAAAAGCAATAAACAAAAGACAAAAAAGTAATCCTAAAGTTTTAACTGATTCATGGGAGTTTGTCAGATATGTTACAGTGACAGAACAAGGAAAATAAGTATAGAGAACATACAGTGTTTAAGTGCTAGAAAATATACTAGAAAAAGCAACTCACAATGGAGACAATATGTTGGGAGGACATATAGTTTTAAATACATTAACCATGGAAAGTCCCATTGAAAACATGGAATGGGGGGGAAACCCTTTGAATTTCTTGAACACAAATTTTTGTAAAAAAATTAAATACCAGGAGCAAAGTTTCTAAGGAGAGTGAATACCTGATATGTTCAATGACGACCACAGGTATATGGAGAGGGGAAACAGTAAGTTACTGTGATAGCAGTTAAGAAATGAGAGGAAAAAAATGAGGTGTACACATATCAGGTACCCATAGGCCATTGTAGGTTTAGGGCCATGGCTTGTACTCTAAAGAAAACAGAAAACCATAAGAATGTTTTTAAAAAGTATATATAATATTTTACAATATTAAATATGTCGACTGCTTTGCTAAGGTTAACTCCAACAGGTTAAGCATATACAAGGAGAGGTCAGTTATATGCATGAGTCTAGTGAAACATTCAAGCTGGAGATGTTGGTGGCTTGGGCCATAGTCTTAACAGTGGTTTAATAGTCAAATTTTGATTATATTTGGAAGGTGAAAAAAATAAGATTTGCTTATATTTCAGATATAGTGTAGGAAAAAAAGGAGTCCTATATAACTACAAAAATTTGAGTAATTGAATGATGACTTTCCATTTTCTAAGTAAATCAAACTTAGAGAAAGTCAAATTTGGTGGAAGATTGAGAGTTCAATCTCGAACCTGTTAGTTTTCTATCATTTATAAGACATCCCAGTGATATAGTAGAAAGCATTTGGAAACACAAATTACTGTTTAGGGGAAAAGTTGGAGCTAGAGATATAAATGTGCAAGATTTTAGTGCATAGAAGTATTTAAAAACACGTGTTAAGGTGTGGTCAGCAAGTTTTAAGTGCAAAATTAGGAGGCTAATGTGTAGTCAATATATCTGAAATAGTTGACACCTGGAGTGGATTTTTTTTAACATTCATTTCTTTATACAACAAAATTATTTTTATGTGAACCATGAAGTGAAATAAAAGATAATTATGGCCAGACATTGAAAGCACAGTTAACTTTTTTTATTTTGTTAAATATAAAACATATGTCCTTATCCCCACCCGATACACAATATATATCGGAGTCCAGTTCCTCAGAATGTGACATTTTTCGAAGATGCAGCGTCTACAGAGTTAATCAACGTAGAATGAGGTCATTAGAGTGGGCCATAATTCAGTGTGACTGGCATTATTATAAAATGAGGAAATTTGAAAACAGAGACTGATTCGCAGTGAGGGTAGATAATGTGAAAAGCCCAGAGAGAAGACAGTCACCAAAAGCCAAAAGAAAAGGGGGAAAGGGCCTGGAAGACATCATTCCCTCATGATCCTAAGAAGGAACCCACCTTTTGACACCTTAATTTTGAACTTTTAGCTTCCAGATGTGTGAGATAATACATTTCTCTTGTTGAAGCCATCCAATTTCAACAAAAAATAAAACAAAAATAATTTCACAGTGTAAGTCATGGAATGAATTAGTATGTTTTCACATTAATCTGTAGTAAAATTGGAGTTTCTCATTTCCTATTTATTTTTAAAACAAACAGCTAAAATAATACTAAATTGCCATTTAAAATATTATTCAAATTCAATAGAATATTTCCTGTGTGCCCTAAAGCATACAGCAAACAAAAACATTTCACATTGCAGTTCACTCTGTATTTCCCTACTTTACATTACAGACACAAATAAAAAATCCGAGTTTAACATAGAATGGCAGAATTGAACTAAGTCATAATCTCACTACCTTTATATTCCCTGGTGCTTCACTTTTATTTGAACCCATTGTTCAAATGCTGGATCCACAAGGATTGAAGATACAAACCATTTTGCAAAGGAGCTTAAACAATTGCAAACTGTCACATACTCTGTCTGAGAAGGCAAGCTTCCAGCTGATTCTGTGTGGATCAATGGCTAAAAAAGTGCTAACATAAAGATTAAATATAAATTATTAAAATTTTACAGCAACTACAATTCCTAAAAAACAGCCTAACAAAAAGGCATTTTTTTTTCTTTCCAGCAAACAGGATTGCCAGCTAATGGTGAAAATAAAAACAAAGCATCTTAGTAAGTCATGTTACCCTTTTCCACTTTGTTATAGGCAATGAATAAACTTCCTGACTGCACTTGGGGCAAACACCATAGTCTTGGAAACAATAGGTGAGGTATTATGAAAGTTAAATGTAGAGATTATTTTAAAGAGGAGATAGCAATCAACTCTTCTCATCAGTCCCGCTGATGGTTACTTAAAATGAGTTCCAAGATGAGCACTGAGAATTAACAGCTGTAGCTGACAAGGATGATGTCACTGATGACATTGATTCGGGCAGGTTAAGCTGATGGGGTGTCAGGGAAAGCTTGACCAAAGTGCTTCAAGGGAGTGCAAAAGAAAAGGAATTGCCTTTGTAAGCATCAGCAACTTCTGAGGAGTACTCAGTCTAGCGGGAAGAAAATTAATTAATAGCGAGAGAGGATGTAGAGTGGGAAAACTGTTCTGTAAAGCAGGAGAGAGAGCATGTTTCCATGTCTGTGAGAAGTCCTTCATTAGGGAAACATAAAGAAAGGGGAGTAAATACAACAGGAGAAAAGGAATGAGTAAAATTATAGATTAATTCGTTGGTCTCTCGGACAATTGGGTTGGATTGAGTTAGCAGAGCTGGATTTAACAAAAGCGGGCTCTTACCAATAGAGGTAATTAGATAAAAGGTGTAGGGTTTACAGGGTGTGTTCTTGAAAAGTAGATATAAGCGGAGTAGACACAAGGAAAAACTAGTAGAATCCATGAATAAATGAATGATATACACATTTAGACTGTTTTAAAATATTTTTATAAACTTCAAGATTAAAATAGTGGTGGCAGTAAATGTAATTTAGAGAACATAGAAACATAAAAATATGTAGTTTATTTTCTGTAACAAGCTTTTTCTTGTGAAAAAGTTACTATTAAAATTGTGAAATGAGTTCAATTTTAAATTGTAGGGGAAGAGCTTATTTTCTTTTTAAGAAGCATTAAAAAGTAAACTCCATTAATGCATTTATTAAATAATGAATATAAGCCTGCTGCATTTTAGCAAGTATGCTATGCATTGGAGACAAAAAGACAATAATTGAGACACTGTTGCTACCTGTTAAATAAATAGTCAGTCTTACATTTCAAGTAAAAGGTGCTAGGATAACAGACTACACTAGGTGGTATAAGAGCACAAAGAAGAGACGTCTGAATTTATCAGATTATAGCGTTTAAAGAAGGACTTATGGAAAAACTGAAGTGTGGTCCAGCAGAAAAGGCAAAAAGGGATGAGAATTTCCCAGGAAGAGGAACAGCCTATGGGTAAATCCATGATGCTGTGAAAGCATATGATGAACATGAGGAATGACCAGTGTGAATGGAGGACGGGACCCCACAGGTGAACAATAGGTCAAGAAGCTAGCCACCAGAGAGATGTCTCAGATACCATCATGCACAAATTAGAGAAAACCAGTTTGCATCTTGAGATTATGAATGATGTTTATGCCTTTCTTATCTACTGTTTCATTATATACCAGAAAGATAAGAAAATCTTTCTTCTGAAGGAACTGTCATATCTTCATTTAGTAGATCAAAAATAAAACCCAATGAATGCCATAGAATATGTCTTTTTCCTGAAATTGCAACAAATAGATTATTACTTAAAAAAATGCCTCGAGGCTACCTCCTTTTTTTCATGCAGATTGTAAAGCTTATGAATGTATTGCTAGGAGGATGTAAAATAACCTTCAGATTCCTTGATTTCACTCATGAAAGGTCAGGGTCTGTCAGCATATTCTCCATCCAGCTGAGAAAGGCAGAATTAAACATTCCTAATATGTTGGGAATAAAGGCAATGTCCTGATTTTACCTGCTGGCAGCCGAAGTCCTTCAGTAGATTGGTGTTTGTCTCCTCTTGGGAAATCACCGAATGCAACTGCCCTCATCAATGTTCCTTTCCGGCTCCTCTTTCCTACTGCCATGGCCTAGTGACAGGCCTCCTGAAAGATGGTAATGTAACAGGACTGCTACAGAATTAGAGTCCAGGCTGTTTCGGGAAAGCAGCGTATTCAGTTAGATGTCCTGCCTGCTGCAGTAAAATAACTTAGAAACAAAACACTGATGTTATAGGAAACACTCAAAATTGATAGGCCAAGAAGCCAAGGTGTTATAATTTTGCTAACATAATATTCTTTCATTAGAAAGAAAAGAATATGAAAATATTGTTAATATTTCTTTAAAATGGAATGTACCGTGAATCTAATAAATTGTCACAATCTATAGTTTGTTTTTGTAATTTGCTTGGATTTGATTTTTAAGGTATAATAATCAGCACATTACTAGGTGAAATGCATGAGGTATAATGAAGCAAAAAGGCGCTCTAAAAACTACCCTGACTTTTAAGAACATGTACTTATTAAACGGTTGTGAGTTCAATGAATGGCAATCTGAAATGCTAAACTGCTCCTGTCAAGTAAGTTTATTCATATATATGCTTCAACCATAAATCATGCTCATTAGACATTAAAAAAATAAAAAAACAAGATATTTTAAAATAAATTCCATTTTTGTTTTGTTTCAAATCTGCATGGAAGTCCTGGAAAATAGTTTCTGATCATTTGTCTGTCCACATTCATGCATCTGAAACCTAAATCCTGGGAATGACGAAAAAGTCTCTCCCTCTGAAAATATTTCATAGATAAATGAGGTATATGTGAAAGTAAAGACAATAGACTGGGTCAGCTGATACCTTTAAATACTTCTCGATTCACATATATTCACTCTGTAGACTCAGCACCTGTAATTCCTGTGTGTATCCTATTTTTTTTTCCTTTTGTCAGTACTTGGAGAATTACCCTGAGGATCTTGCAGAAGTTAGAAATGTGAACATAAATTGAAAATATATGCATCCTCTAAAGTTATAATGTAAAAATAATACATTAATACTTTTTAAAAATTGTCTCGAAGAAGCTATCCCTCAAGCTTATGAAAATTGAGTATACACTTATTGGATTTATAGAACTCATGAAAAAATAGAAGGGAAAAAGAGACAGGTTGGGCAAATTGATCAACTTTGGACCTTAGAAGGAGAGAAAATAAAGTAAAAGTTGAAAGTGCTCAACCAAGGCCTGTTGAGGGGGCAGGAGCCAAAGCTGATGGAAAGAATAGCCTACAGCCTCCATTGCTGACGGTAAGGCTCTGAGTGGTGTGGTGACAAGGAAGGCTGCGAGCATTTTGAGTATTTCCAGTATGGTTGATTAGGTCAATCCAAACTTAAATAATTTACAGGGCTGCTTTATTTCATTTAATTTGTTCTGATACTATCCTGAACAAAAAGTCTTCTAATGATGTTATATTTTCACATTTATTTAATTCAATCTTTCCATCTATGTGACACCATTTATTTAAGATGTCTATAGGTCACATTTATTTAAGACATAAATGCATAAAAATTCTGGTTTGATTCGTTATTCTCTTGCAAACACCTGAAATGAGTCTATTTCAGCAAGACAATTGTAACTGAATTTCCAAAGTTGAAAGGTAGACCATTGGCTAAGATAAATAATTTATGTGATAAGATACCTAACATAAGGTAAAACATGGGCTAAGATAAATAATCAAGGTAAATAATCCAAATTATAAGTACTCCTTGTAACAGTATACCAAGCTTCTCAGCAACAACTTCACTGTGTAGGAACCCATGTATTTAATTTTTATTTAAATTGATTGCCTCATTCAATCAATCTCATTCAAAAAATGAGGTGTTATAACTCTATGGACAGAGAGTAAAAATAAATTATTTAAGTTATAAAAATTATGTTAGAAAATTATGAATAATAGAAAAATATAGGCCTGGTGTGATGGCTTACACCTGTAATTCCAGCACTTTGGGAGGCCAAGGCAGGCAGATCATTTGAGGTCAGGAGTTTGAGACCAACCTAGCCAAAATAGTAAAACCCCATCTCTACTAAAAATACAAACAATTTAGCCAGGCCTGGTGGCAGGCACCTGTAATCTCAGCTACTCTGGACACTGAGGCAGGAGAATCACTTGAACCCAGGAGGCGGAGGTTGCAGTGAGCCAAGATTGCACCACTACACTCCGGCCTGAATAACAGAGTGAGACTACATCTTGAAAAAAATATATATATTTCACAAGAAAGGTTTAAAAGGTCTATCACCAACAAATTGCCCATATAAGATCTTTCTAATAGTATGGATGATCAATTAATTTAAAATTTTAACATTTTCATATTTCAGGTTTAGATTAATTGTACAACAGATCAATTAATACTTTGGCATGTCATTTTTTCAAAGGATTTTCAAATTTATAAAGAAATGCCATTTCCATTTATAGCCTAATAAATTGAATTTATATCATTAAAATTTTTTAAATTACTTACATCTCTAAAGAAGAAATTTCTGCTAGATTACATTATGTTTCAAATTTCTTGGAATTCTGAAACAGCCTAATGTTTCTCTTTTGGCTTTGTTGGATTATGTCACATATATTTAAAATATTTGTCTTCAATTTTTTGTAGTAAAGAGTATGAAAAGTGTCAGGGCCTGTAATCCCAGCACTTTGGGAGGCTGAAGCGGGTGGATCACAAGGTCAAGAGATCAAGACCATCCTGGTCAACATGGTGAAACCCCATCTCTACTAAAAATACAAAAAATTAGCTGGGCATGGTGGCGCGTGCCTGTAATCCCAGCTACTCAGGAGGCTGAGGCAGGAGAATTGCCTGAACCCAGGAGGCGGAGGTTGCAGTGAGCCGACATCGTGCCATTGCACTCCAGCCTGGGTAACAAGACGGAAAATCTGTCTCAAAAAAAAAAGTGTCAGGGATGAAGTTTTTAGAAGTTTTTGGAATATATATGCAAATACCATGAATATCAACAGTTTTGGGGCCATTGAAAGAGAAAAAATAATTTAATGACCTTATGCCTGCTGCAAATGTTCAATGGCTGAATTGTGGAGTCCTACAAAGACTTACTTGCACTGTTATTTCAAATTCAAGATTATGCATATAACAAAATAAATGCTTAACAATTATTCAATAATCAAAGACAGAAAGCGACAGTATGGTTGATGTTTTCTCACTAGCATCACAGGGCATATCAGTGAAAAAATTTGAAGCACCAATGAAAATGAAAGGAAAAACCTCAGTGTGACCTAGTTGAATAGGTTGAGTTGTGTGAAATAAGAGACAGTGTTGAAACTGAAGCTGTACATATACAGATATGAGTCTTCATTTTTCTATCATGAGTCAATATTTAGGTTTTTTAAAAATAATTCACAGAGTCATAGGCTTTGCCTGCAAAAGAAAAGAAAAATCTGAAGGGAGCTTTTTAGATATTAATAAAGTTATAATTACTGTTCAATAGCGGCAATGTTCCTTTGAATTTGATGAACATAACACCAAATAAACAAAATAATTAACGAAGTTGTGCAATTTGAACATCTGTAGATATATGCTTTTATTTGAAAACCAAATTATAAAGAAATTTTGTTTTCTATAACATACAGATATTAGAACATTATTTTGGTACATGATACACATTTTTAAAGAAAGATAATTTTGAAAAAACTTGTTACATGAAACTACTCGAACTCTACATTCTATAATATCTATAGATACATGTCACATTTGCAATGAAGATTCAGAGCCTGAATTTAGATATGCTGCAAGCATAAAAGAACCACTGAAATTTGAAAACTTTAGAATGAAAAACACAATGTAATATGTCTCAATAATAATTTTTATGTTGTTGAAATAATAATCATTGGGATATCCTGTAATAAATGAAATAATAATCATTTGGATATCCTGGAATAAAAATGTCAACAAAGTTAGTTTTACTTATTTTTGTTTTTACTTTTTGTGGTGACTAGAAAAGAATTAAAATTATATGAATGATTTGCATTAAAAGTCTATTAGACAGAACTGATATAATATTGTTTTAAACCAATTGTGTAAATTACGTATCATGCAGCCAAAGTTTTGGCATTTTTGCAGTTTTTATCTCCAAATAGATTAGGAAGACATGAAAGTCAGGGATTCACTTCTTCATAAAACCATACATAACGTGCATATTCAAAAAATATTTATTAAACTAATTTAAATAGTGGACGTGGCTATCAGCAATAGGAAGAGGGTCAAATTTAATTTTTGATGCAGAAGTTTAACCTATACCAGATATAGACAATGTCGGGATTCCAAACCCTTAATATTTCCATTGCCTTTATATATCAAACAAGTATTTATCACAGGCTACCATTTTCCAAATGTTGGCCGTATTTCAACATATTTCATTCATAATATCATTCCTCAATGAATGTTCCTGTAGTAGAGGAAAGTGAAAAATGATCAAGTAGATATAATACTGTTTGATAAATCATTTTAAGAGTATGTACGACAAAGGCACTATTGAATCACTCATATGCACACATACAAATGAAACCTACCTTATTCTGCCATAATTATTTGAGAACCCTGGGAATACCTGATTTAAAGAAAGACAGAGAAAAATAAAGCTACGAAGACAAAGAAGTAATGATCTATGAGGATTGAGGAAAACCGATGGTGTAAAGAAAGTTAAGTGAAGAAAGTGTTTGAGAACCAACCAAGTATAAATGGATGAAGCTAGGGAAAGTGTAAGGATTAAAATACTCTTATTATAATAAACAGCAATGAGAATGATGTATGTTCTGTACTGGAAATGTTTACATAAAATGATAGGAACAGAGCTAGATGGCAGCCGACTGAGGATAAAGAAATAAGGAATATAAAAATGTGGACAATTTGTCAGGATAACATAGTCAACAAACAACACAAAATATCATAAAGGAGAGAAAGAACACTAGTGATGATGCAGCAAGAGATTGAGAAAGGACTTTCTTAAATTAGAAGCATTTAACCTGTGAAAGAATGTCAACAAAACAGCAAAAAACAGAAATGAAGGGAAAAACGTGGGATGGAATTCCTGAAATTTTTGAATAGTTTCATATATAGACATTCAGGTCAGAACAGGAAAT